GCGACTTAATCCAAGTCCCGCCATGACACAGGTGGTCCTCAACCGAGGCCACCGGGTGCCGACCTTGGCGAACCGACACGAAAAGGCATAGTATTACTAGTATTATTACTAGTATTACTAGGACGTAGAAAACAGAACACCTGTCCCAGCCAACTGCCAGAATCTCACTCTTGGTTCTGCAACGCCGTGGTGCCGTGGTAACATCAAGTCAATCAAGTGTGTGGTTTGCAGGGAGTCGGCACTCCTCCATTTGGTTGTTTGTGTTGGCACTGGCGTGGGAAACAACACACTTCACCAATTTACTTTGTATTCCCCATTCTCACAACAGAAATATAACTGTATAAAACAGTACCCTTGTATAATTTATATGCAACCTGTTGTAACCGCTTACCGTAAACACATAATTTCAATGCTCGGACACATATATACTTTAAGATAAAAAGAGTTATCCTAAATTGGTTATCAAAATGTGAGTACAAATGCTTAGAAAGTAACAAATTTCTTGTAATATCGTCGTGTAAACTGATAATTCGATTATGAACTGAAAGCGGAGCGTCTTCTCTATTGGAATCACTATTTCAAACTCAAATATAGTAACGGACTCAAAAGTTACGACCATTCTACTCCGACGCCTCCAAAAACGATATCTTAAATTGGTTTTTTACGTTAGTATGACTGTACTCTTATTAGTACGCTCGAGTTCTATTGTGCTTTTCACCCAATTTGCCCATTGTTTTATGGCACTAATCAATGAATGACAAAATTAAAACCACACGTTAAACAACGCAAATCGAGAGTCTGGCACATGAGCTAAATGAAGACAGGTCGTTATTTACTGGACCATCTCACTCGCAAAGTGGACGAGACCAACATGCAGCGCGATCGATTGAACGTCGCGTTCCCATCGTGTTGAATCTTGTTACGCTACATCGTGAGAGTGCAAGTATGAGGCGAACGACGTCAACTTCAATGCCATAAACTTGGACAAGCACAACACATCTCCAACGCATGTCGATGCTGATCATTGTAAAATAGCTAGTTTGTCCATTTGAAATGGGCAAACAAGTTGAATAAGATAATACCGTGCACCTCCACCAATTCTTAGCCAATCAAAGCATCACAAATATTTATAATTCAACGCGAACCGTAAAAATACTTCATCTTGCAATTGTAAAATCATGGCGAGTGCCGTAATTTTAGGATGAGTTTTTATTAAAGCATGGTTTTAAACCTGGATTAGCCAAAAAAGGTGAGAAGCACAATACATATACTTATTTCTACTTTCAGAGAACCCCGGAAATATCCGACAGGGGTTACAGCAAATTTTGTATGGGGATGTCGCCAGAGTAATAATATTCATTCTTGTACAGTACTACGTAGTGCTTTTTTATTGTTAGATATGATTGGTAGAAATTACGAGCGTAACGTTACATGAGGAAATATATGGTATCGTAGATTTCGGATCATGTCATAAGGACGTCGTCGGAGTACGGAATATTTGAATTATCATGGGCCCACCATTATGTACTTTTGGGGGTAGGTATTTGCATCAGTTGATGTAGTCATTTCTTTGCGACGCTATAGGGACGATCGTTCTCCCTGGTGATGTCACCACCTCGAAATCCACTTTTTGCCCCTCCTTTTCATGTATCCTGCAGCTAAATGCACTAAGTACACAGTCTGCAATGCAGGTGCCCCGGGTTCAAATCCCACATCGAGGGATATATTTTGTCAAGTGATATACAACATGACAAAAATATTCAACATTGTTATTTTTAATCACCTACTACAGAATTTTATTGGATTCACGACGGGGGTTTATCCAGAGAACACTCCTACCGAGCACATAATTAAGATCACAGCACTGTATCTATTATTTACACAAATACAATGTGGGGACGCGGAATTGCTTTTTGAAATGATTTCTGGATTGCGTCGCTAGAAATCATTTCCCATGCCTTGATTGAACGAAAAATCATAGCACGTCGCTTGTCTGCAGCTGAAGTGACAGGCGCTTCATCGAGCCAGAGTGTCCGCAACAACTTCTTGAACGGCCCCATAACCCCTACATCCAAGGGCTGACACACACTTGTGCAGTTGGCAGGGAGTAGCTCGAGCACGCTGTGCAGATCACCAGCGATGACATTGGCGGATTCTTGCGTAACGTGGGCGTCGAAGTTGTCGGCGACTATGACCGTGGGGCCTTCAATGTACGGCGGCAAAATCTCGAGGTACGCTTTCCACACGCGGCTGTCCATCCACGCCGATTCTTGGACACTGTAGTAGTGCTCTTCTGGATAGGTATCCAGCTCCACTTCGTCGATTGTACCACCGGGGACGCCATGGACGATGAACAAAATGGGTAGTTTAGACCCTACACACAACATCGTCAATAGCCATTCATGCAACACGACGTACCATCAGCTCGGCATGTCAACACCGCGGTGATACGGTCGGAATGCTTCTGCTTCTGTCGACCTTGGACGACTTGCCGATTTCTGCCCAGATCTTGCCAGGGGGCATGTCGTAGTATACGGCGGTCTCGTCGACGTTCATGATTTCGCTGGCAGCGTACGCATGATACTTGGTCCAAAACTTGCACGCAAAATCCTGGCGGATCTCCAGCATATCGGGGGTGGGCATCTTCGTGAAGCACGCAACTCGCTGGGAAAAGCGGTGTCGTTTGGCAAACTCCTGGCCGAGCTTCAAGAGGGATTGTACGCGTCGCGCTTGCCTGTTCGGTACGACGCCAACCATTCCCCGTGGTTGCGCTTCATGAAGGTTACCATATGCATCGACGTAAGAATGTGTTCCTCACGCCGAACATCCTTCATGAAGGCAAGGAGCTCGTACTTGAACGGGAAGGTGGCCTTGGCGCCTTGGCCACCCAACGTTGGGCGCTTGGCGTTGCGTCGAGTCGTCGCAAGTTCTGTGCGGCGCTTTTGCCAGTCGATCCACGTACTTCGAGGTATTCCATGCTCCGCACAGAACTAGGTTTATACTGACACCCAAGCAGGGGAAAGAAACAGGCGGTGCGAGGGATGGAGAGTTCTGTTCAGCCAATTATGATGGTGCACCAATGAGGCCAGGAGAAAAGGGATGGCTGAGCGAAACGACGGGGGATAAAACGTGGAATATCCTGGCAGGATTTGTTCCCACTGAGCGGGCGTAACGACTGCCATGTTGCCAAAATGGGGCGGCAAAACTCCGAACTCGGCGTCGTTCACATTGAGGCCTTACATTAAAAAATATTTAATATTTTATTCACATAACCTAATAATTAATATTATGACAATACCTGTTGCTGCGCGGCCAACAAATTGGTCTCCCCCTGAACCCTCGAAAATGTACTGACCCTGAGCAGTGCCCCAAACTCCACCCCGCACGGAGCCAGACCAAGACAGTTGGACAAAGACGAACTGGCCACACCTTTGCGAAAGGAGTGAGTGCCAATATCCGCAATGGCCAAGCCCATTGACACGATGTCGTCTTCAGAGTTGGAACACGTGTTCCGGAGCCAAGTTGAGAAACGTTCCTTGGCATTGTAGCCGAACAAGAGGGACGGCGAGCCTGGGAGGTTGGTGCCACGAGTAAACAGCAACACGCCCAAACTAATGACAACACAATATATTTAGCACACACAAAATACAACTATATATACCTCGGCACAGGGCAAATTTCAGGGTTCAATGGGTTGGCGTACACATGCCTTGCGAATGACATCTGGCCGTCTTGGTCATTCTGCATTATACCGTACTGAATTTCAAGTGCGTCGTCTACAAATTGTGAGAATATATTATTAATATATGAGTGCTAAGGCTGAGCTGCATACTTTTCCATGAAACATGCTCGTATCGAAGCGTGGACGCTGAAACAGCTCGTACCATCAAGTTCCAACACAAAACCAAGAACGAATGAGCCATGATGTGCAATGCATAATCTGTTTTGGACGTCAGTGCAGCGGCCGCCAAAAACCGATAACCTAACAACACTTAATATATATAATAGTATACTAGCATACAAGAAATATTCTACCCGCCACAGAAAGGGATGCCTTTCCAACTGTCATGGGCACTTCACCGGTATCCTTGACCTGGGCATACTTTCGCTTGTACCCGCTGACGAAATCTATGATCACAGACTATTAATATGATATTGTCGACAAAATGCAATGCAGCATCTTACCTTTCATCATGTTGTGCATTTCGACGCTAACCTCAACACCTGACTCTTGTGAACTCTTCAACCGATTGACAGTCTACACTGAGTTATACTGTCGTGGCACAAGTTCTTTGTGTCGTTTCAGTGATGCGTACGAGAGCATAAGCTTGCCTGCGCAAGCGAGACAGGTAGGACCAGCACGCCGTGCTCAATGTACTCGGGGTTCTCCCGTTCAAGCCACCTCACAAGCCTGGTTATGATGGAGTCGTACTGTAGTCTCGTGTCTGCAACTATGCGCAGGGTATCACATCGTCTGCCGTCTCATCCGTGGAGCTGACTTCCTTGCGGTTCGCTTAGAGCGACCCATTTGGGTTTTCGGACTGATCGATAAATCTTCCGGTTAATACTTATACTAGTATGCTTGTTTCGCGATTGTTTTGTAAATCACCATATATCACCATATATCTAAGATACAAGTAATCGCATACAAATCTCAAGATAGCGTGAATTATATATATTGGATTTACGAAACAAAAACGTTTCGTGATTGCTAGTAGTCTGGTGCATTTTGTTTCGTGTCTGTTTCGTAAATCGTGCATACTTACTGCTAGGAGTACTGTAGTAGTTTTTATAACGTTACAGTTAGTACTATTAATACTATTACAGTAGTACGTACATATAGTACTTTGTCGTACTCAGAGTAGTTCGTAACTACTACTAGTACTCCGAAGTATAAATAGTACAGTACTACAGTAGTACTATCAATAGTAGTAACGTTACGAACTAATGTCAAGGGCAAACCACACTACCGTACCTTTCGATTCAATGTTGGAGTGGTACAGCCAGGAGTACCACTGGAAAATTTGATATTCATTGCCTCTAGACATAAATATCCTTTCAGAAGTAATGCTCTCTACGACGCGATAACTGACGAGCAAACTTGAAGCGACTTCCTGCATGCAAACTTGAGCTTGTAAACTGACATTGACACCTCCATTCACTTTCCATTATGCCGTGACCGTCCCATCGCAAGCCCTAGAAATGTACTTGTATGATTTCAATTTGAGTTTGATTGCCTCGAAGAACTCCCATAAAATTATATTCCTCCAACATCACATAGAAATATTAATTTTGAATAGACAAGAAACAGAGTGGTCACAGCCGAGTACCATTCCAACATTGAATCGAAAGGTACGGTACGGTACAGTACTGTACGTACTGCTGTACAGTACAGTATCGGTAGTATCGAATGGCCATTATTGACCATCGTTCCTATCCAAAGTGAATTCGTCCACATGACTACAGTAGTTACAGTTTGTAAGCTCCCGATAATATACCCCGAATACCTTACTGTATTGTACGGAACTTACTGAAGAGCATCCCCAACCATTGGTGCGGCAACACAGCCATTAGGGGGAGTCAATTTAGGAAATTTCCGCTTTTCGTTCGATTGTGAAAAGCAAATTTATATTGTTTTGTATAATTTTATAAGCTTCCACGAAAAGCAATGTGGAATCAATTTGGCCCTCAAAAGTCACTCGTACAGTGTACTAGTACTAGTACACTGTATCCGCATTCAAAAGAGGGGTGACGTCAGGTAGGGAGGGTTGGAATTCTCGTTGTCGTCGACTCATAGTTGTTAACGTTACGTTAAGATTAAAGTACAGTATTGGATTAAATGCCTGGTTTAAACTAAAAACCTGAAGTTCAAAAATAACTGGATTAAAGGTTAAGTAATGTTGTCATTTAGCCAGGATGTCTACATGCTTCGCTGCAACTAACAGTAAGTACTTACCTGGAAGCTGCGGGAAATGATCAACTTTACGATTTTAAACGAAATGACAGTTCATACATACAGATAACGACGGAAATAATTGCCAAGTGGTACTCCGCAGAATCTCGGAATATTATTATACAAACGCCATCAATTGACTGTGAAATGCCGAAAATTTCACACATTTTAGCCAATGGGTGACCTTTGTCACCACGACATTGTTCATGGTGTGATGGCACTATTTTGACTTGAAACCATGTAGAATTGAATATATTATGGTGTCACGACCAGTAGAGTATTCATAGATATGAGACAAAATGTATTTGTTAATTGTAATCTATGTACTCTCGTATACTTGAGCTTTTCCCACGATTGCTTGTGGGGGTTTCTCGAGATAACTTGCTATCTCTCAAACTCTAAAAGCAGGTACTATACAAAGACACTTCAAAAGTAGCTGCATTACTGTACGTAATCAAAGAAATCAGACCTGCAGTCGGGTCCCAGTTTCACTTGAACAAGCTACGGTTAAGAGAAAAAAACGCCCACAGTGCTAATCATACTTGAACAAACTATGTTCACGCAGCCAGACCGGACATTTGAGAAATGTGAAATAAAACGCTTCAAAAGGCAAGCAAACAGCCCTGTGATTCGGGGCTGTACATGCGTAACTCGATTACGTAATCACGTGCAAGGCAACAACCCTAACCCTGACAAGCATTCCTATAACGTGTCTATGATTGGTCCATTTAAACTACCGCCTAAATCGCCGTTTCAAAACTATGCGCGCCTACGCGAGGTACCCCAATGCCCAGAGGAAAACTCTCCTACTGGAGTACAAGACTTCTGGACAGAGCTCACACGCCTTTTCGAGTGGGAAAGGCCTCAAATGGAGCACATGGCGCAACATGCTTCAGCGAGAGGACGCCATCCTCAACAAGAAAGTCAACGGCAAGAAGGCAACACTTGGTGGCCAGGGGCGACATGAGTCTATACCATTTGCGAGTGACATGGCTGCGTTCTTGAAAGACGTTTGTGACCAGGAGCATATCCTGACTCATACGCATTTGATCTCGTTCATGAAACTGCACCACATGGAGTGGCTGGAAGAGTACCTGGCGGCAAAGACGAACGACGACCGAGCCTACCACAGCCTCATGAGGCTCTGTCAACGCTTTTCATTGCGCTAGCGGTATTCACAGCGTGTGCCATGTGTCAGCCGATTAACACAAGCTGTGCTGATGGAGACAATAGACAACTTTGCAGCCGCGTTTTGGGACAAGTTCCGTGACTCGGCCGCTGAAGACATCATTAATGTCGACGAAACGTCGGTGTACTATGACATGCCGCCTGGAAAGACATTGGCGCCAATTGGAGGGTCGTCAAAAGTGGATACGTCTCAGAAACACTCCGACCGCATGACTGCTGTGCTGACGATTCGTTCAAATGGTAAAGATGACTTTGAAATGCTTGCTTATGCTACATAGGGGAGAAGCTGCCCATTCTTTTCATTGTCAAGGGTGAGCCAGGTGGATCGATCGAAACCGAAGAAGTCCCAACCTACCCAGCTGGCCACGTGTATGCTGTTCAACATAAAGCGTGGATGGACAAGCATGTATGGCAGATGTACCTCACTGAGCTGTTGAAGTTCGAGATTACTGGTCCAACTGTTATCCTGGCGGACAATTTGGACTGCCACGTAAGCGAGGCATCTGTCGACACGGTATCGACGGAATTGTTCGGAATCTTCGAGCCTCTACCGAAGAACTCAACAAGTGTGTGCCAACCACTTGATGTTGGTGTGATGGGCCCCCTGAAGAGCAAGTTGCGCAAGAAGTGGCTTACGGAGAAGCCAGTCGTCACTGCAGCGGAGAAGCGTTTGGCCATGATTCAACGAATTATTCAAGCTTGGGAAGAAATGCCATGCGATCTCATTCGTAGCTCCTTTGAGAATGCGCTGCCGCAAGTGTTTATGTTGTAACCTTAACGGGGAATCAATTCATTTTTTATACTCACAGTACCAGCTCATTTGATATTTTGACTCGTTGACGTCGTCGTCGTTATGACGTCTTAATATGCTTGCTATTGGTTGAAAATTGGCCAATCAGGCATCTGTCCTACGATTGGTTCCAATTTAATACACAGTGGTACTTGATTCGTAATAATAATATTGACCATACAAATTTCTAGATATTTGAAGAGTACTACTTGGCAATTATTTCCGTCGTTATCTGTAGTTCATCATCACGCTAGAATGAAATCGAGTTCAGCCTGAGGAAGAAAGCAACGTGCACTGCTTTTAATTGCCATTTTGAGGGATATGCATCGTCCTCAATCGATTGCGCTGAGTTGCTTGGCTCCACACAAAACGGTTGCATAACTTTTAAAAATATGACATTAACCAGAAAAAGCAAGGTGAAATAGGCAATTTTGTATGGAGCGCAAGGTGAACCACCTTGTGAATTCCATAAATAATTCTAAAATTGTATAGTTTCAATTAAATATATCTTCAAGTTTGTATTGATGATTTTTTTTTCATGTGTATGTCTCTTTTTGGAATTCGCAAGGCATGTCACCTTGCGAATTCAAAATTGTCCAATTTGTCCAATCAGATGCCGTGAAATCACGAAAATCGCTGCGTAGATTCATCACACCCTGTTGCGATATATTCTACTCCTGTGATGGCGGTTGATGCAAAATTGTCCAATTTGTCCAATCAGATGCCGTGAAATCACGAAAATCGCTGCGTAGATTCATCACACCCTGTTGCGATATATTCTACTCCTGTGATGGCGGTTGATGCAAGGAGCATTGAGATAATTATGTAGGCCGTGCATGAGAGCAAGACCATGCGATGTGGTATCCCGGACTCGGTCAATTCGAACAGGTCTAGACTTCAGTAACATCACCACTTGCCTGTTAAACCAATGAATGTGGTCATCCCTCATTCCACCATCAGTCCATGTCGGTGCCGTATACCTCCCTGCTGGAGTGATCACGTGGTTGCGCAGGCGGGTGGAGCAAGACTTCTTGATGGCACCCTTCGCAATTGCTAAAGCCGCCACTTCAGCACTTGCGATGGGTGCTACCAGGACCTCTTGCACCACCGCGTTGGCCCACCAGAGCCACCACGACATTGCGACCCAACAGAGCGCACAATATAATGTTAGCTGTAAGGGGAGAACCACATTGGACATAGTCCGAGTGCACTCATCAGTGCACAATTCTCTGGAGCAGGATCACACAAAGCTCTACAAAATTCAAGCGTCCAAACAGTTCAAAATTGGAACATCTTCTGTCAGTGTTATAGCCAATCGTATATATAAAATAACGCAAGGTGGCTCACCTTGCGAATTCCATTAACAAGTCATTTAAATGTTAGAAAATTATAACATATCAATGTATGCTATAAACTATAGCTCAAGATGACAATAATTGCTTGACATCTTTCACGCTATATTTAAAGTTTTCGCCAAAATGCGTCTTTAATGTGCTGCTTCGTGGCTCAAAGATCACCGGTCAACGCAAGAACATGGTAGCATGTACAGTACAGCAGCAATGGTAACTACTACTGATCTCCCCCCAGTTCGAAACGGCTGATTAAATACAGTTCTAACAGTGTATGCGTTTCTGAGGTTATTAATTATAGTAGAAACAACCCTGCAATCACTGGTCATGGACTGCGTGCCGGGGCATCGGTGTGGAGAATGCCCGTTCTGGACCAGCAGTTCACAATCGTCGTCGACGATACAGCGTGCCAAGCATCTTTCGCCCGAGCCATGGCCTCAACAAGTGGCACTTCGTAGAGCCTGTCTTGGCGACCAGCCATCACGGAGTCGATTTGCTCCAGTGCATTCTGAAGTTGTCGTTGCTTCACCTTTGCCTTGAAGGAGGCAATGATCCCAGCATCCTGGGGTTGGAAGTAAGCAGTCGTATTGGGCGGCAGCATCTTCAAACTGACGTTTGTGAGCAGGGTGTCCTCCTTGGCCTTGTGGGGTAACGCATTGTCGACAAGCAGCAGGATGTTGCGGCTCGCAGCCTCCATTCTTGAGTCCAACTTTCGAAGGAACGTGTCAAAAATGTCTCCATTCATCCAGGCTTTCTTGTTTGACGTGTAGTCAAACCCGAGATCAGCGGCACTTCGGCCGCGGAAGCATCTCGGCTGCACAGCACTGCCGCTGAAGAGGGGCTCAACCATGTCCGTTCCGTTGGCGTTGGTGGTAAGCGCGAGCGTGATTCTTTTCTTGGACTTCTTCAGTCCAGGCACGCGTCTCCGAGTGATCGATCGGTGAGACGACATACACCAAAAGAACGACATCTCATCCATGTTGTAGACGTCACTTGCGTTGTAGCCACGCGTTGTCTCCAGGACTTGTTCGCGTCCTTGCCGTACTGCTTGCGCGGGGTCGAGCCGGCTTCACCATGCTGCCGCTTGCTGGACATACCGCGCTTTCGTTGGAATTTGTAGAGCCATCCTTCGGAGAACTCGAGGGCCCAATTCGTCACCAGTTGATATTCGTCGTAGTACGACTTGGCTTGTTTTCGAATTAGTTCACCAGTGACGGACACGCCGAGTTCTTCGCACCGCAATACCCATGATACCCATGACAGGATCTTGGTCTCACACATCTCGATCCATTGATCGTGACTTGAGATCCGCTCGCTGGCTCATTGTATCATGGCGTTTAATAGCATTTCCAACTGTAGCCTTTGCTGGTGGTGATGTCAGCTTAAATGCTTCCATCGCCCACAGTGCCAATTCGGAATATGTGGCATGGGGTTTCTTCATGTGCTCAGCGCACAAGTTGGTTTTGTCCGCCAAGGACATCCGCGCCTTCATTGCCGAAACGTCCAAGTTTGAATGTTTGAAATTACCTCTGAAGAATTAATTTTATCCGATTATAAAAGTTATCGAGTGTGCATCGTTTCGAACTGGGGGGAGATCAGTACGTAGTAAAGTGGCATGGACGGTGTTACGATGCTTATTGCGGGATATAATCACACCCAAAGTAAGCTATATTTCAGTATTTTGGCATGTTTGAGGTCGGGCGTAGAATGTTTGCACGAGGTTTTTGGCGTACGTACAGTGGTTAAGTGGTGTGTTCCAGTCTACGTGCACCAATTTGGACGATTTGAACGTGGTATAATTTCTGGTCAAAAATAGTTGCATGTAGACCGCGCAAATAATCCAACAGCTTGCTCTGTAAATTACTTCTCAGTAAGCGTGAAGCCCACATGATTTCGGCCATGCGATCATAGTTGCATTTTGGATTACTCTACCTCGACCTATCCGTATTCATGGACTAGTGCCACCGCTGAGAGATGCCCTTGACACACACAAACTACTATAGTATATCGGCCATTCCTTGACCAAAACCGCTCATTCTTGGACTGCACGAATGTAGGCATGTTGGTCTGTCGCTATGTATGTGGGACCGGTACCACCGTCACTTCACACATGCCAAATAGTGCAATCGCCGCACACGACATCTCGTTATGTAGCCCGCAGCCATGCCTTCGGTTTTCATATGAAATGTATCACTTGATGCTATATTTCGTAGAGTGGTACAACTAGTCGAGGCGGACGACTAAAAAATATAAAGATCATGTCACGACGAATCTGACGTCGACTTCTTTGATTGGACTAAAATAAGCCAATTAAACCAATACAAAAGTTCAAGGGTAAGCGTAAGCGTTCGACGCGATAGGGCAGTGGTAAAACACTTGAGTGAGCCCCGAGTTCAATTCCCGGGCGCGTCGTACTTTTTTCTTCAAAACTCAAATTACTACAAACATTTAATCTTAAGTTCAATTACGGATGGAATGGCTTTCTCAAACAAACTAACAATAGCTTCCGACGAAATTTTGTCCCAAACCCGGATCGTCCCACCGATTGTAGCCCGCCGCTTTTGTTCAGCCCTCATGTTCTCATCAGCGCTACCTGTGTCCTCGAGCAACCTCTCCGTCTTTAGCTTAGCCTTGAACGGACCCATAACACCGACATCCAGCGGCTGACACCTGCTCGTTGAGTTTTGGGGGAGCGGCTCGATCACGCTGAACATTGCCTCTGCCGTCTTGTCGTAGGAGGCCTCGAAAACGTGGCAATCCACATTGTCCACCAGAAGAACGGAGGCGTCTTGGACATGATGTGCAAACAAACGCTCGAGATAGATGTTCCATACACGTTCATCCATCCAAACGTTTGCCTGCACAGCATAGACATGAGTCATAGGTCGGCAGTTCCTTCTTCTCCAACAGCCCACCTGGCTGCCCTTTGATGATGAATAGCACCGGGAGCTTGACGCCATCGGCCCGGACTGTCAACACCAAGGAAATACGCTTTGAGTGCTTGTTCTTCTTGTCCACCTTGGACGACTTTCCAACCTCGGCCAATGTCTTGCCTGGCGGCATGACTTCTACTCCATACGCTGTGAATGCAGAGATGACTTTAGATGATCGCACCTGTTTCTTCCGCATTGTAGATGAGTGACTAGTCGTCGTAGGCGTCGTACTTGGGCCAAAATCTTCGCTTCTTTCGCTCGCCATCCTTTCCACGTCCCTGCAGGGATGGCGTGCTGTTGGCTTTTGGCTAAACTGGTTGTCTTTGGGGACAGACGCATGAACATTCTTAAGGAGCGCCTTGCTCTCAGCCTTTCGTCAAATGCAATTTTGACACGTCCAAGTTTCAATTTTCAAATTGAGTAGGGCCAACCACAGCTGAGCACAATATTTGATTAATGCAGTCAATTTTATCCAATTGGATCTATTGTTACAATCCCCAGGTTTCGAAAAATTTATTTTATTCACGAGTGCTACTTTCGTCGATTTTTTCTGGCAAACACTGTACGTTTTGAACAGAGAATCGAATACAAAGTCAACTTGCATGAAAACTCATCTCCTTCGTCAGTAGACATATACATTTATCCTCGCATATAATAGGAAAAGGAGTATGATCAATTTGAACTTCATTAGACTTTTTATACGAGTAGAAGATGGAGGAAATAATGCTTGTTTTATTACATGAAGCATCATAACATACAGTACATTAACAGTAAGCAGATTATTGACACCAAAGGCTCTGACGCATTGCTTAACGGCCACTCACGGCCAATGCGAAGGACGCAAAAGCAGCGGCAAGGCAGCCCAACGCAACGCGTGGCGTTCGCTAGAGGACGAATTGGCTGCAGCGGGTGGAGGGGGTGTTGGCTTCTTTGGACGACGCATTCGTCGCCGAAGGAGCGGCGGTACTGTACATCAAGATAATCCCAGCGACGAGTATATAAACTCTGAGTAAGAGTTAAATCTTGAAATATATTATACTATATAAACTGGTTTTTATAAATAAACTGTTAAACCTAATACTGTATCCATTTTTCCAGAAAGTGGATTTTAACAACTACTTCGAAGTATGCGTCGACTGTCGAAGGCTTTCGAATGGCCGTGTCCAATTTGGACACCTCGATTACGACACACGCTGCACGCTCGTCGTATTCAACGACGAAGTAGTTAGGTATGCTTCTACTATTACTCATCATGCTCCTTAGCTCGCGCTTCATGCTCCCTACGACACCTGATTTCGTCATTTGCGCTTGGGCTCGCGGTTGACAATTCGTAACTGGCGCTGCTTTTTCGTGTTTGTATTAGTGTTTGTATGCCATGGAATAGACTGCGATGATTGGGTATTTTCTTAAAAACCAAAAGCACCTCGCGAGGTGCTTTTGGTTTTCGTGACGAAAAGCAGAACGTGAAAAGTAGAATCGAAAATGAAAATTGATTTTTTTTCCTAAATTGACTCCCCTACTATATTCTTGGAACCCAGTAGAATATCATGTCATTCGTGAGTCATTCATTTGTGTACTGTATCAAAGCAAGCGACGGGTTCATAGATATGCAGTCCATTGCCGTGTCGCTGGAGAGGATGGCTTTCGTCGTGACTACCACATTCAATTGGATGGTGTGGGTGCATTGCAGGAACGGTAGGCACACGGTAGGCGGCCACTTGGCTTCGGTGTACTACTGTAGTCATCGCGGTCCCCATGGTGGTCAGTACTGGTACTACTGTATTAATAGTACTTCAAGTACTACCCCGCAGTAATGTAGTATTAATACTACTCCTGCAGTACTATTAATATCCTTCCCATGAATTCCAGTACCCTTACTGTTAAGTCAAACTACATCATACTAACGTTACCGGTAGTACTGCACAGTTGTTGTGCCCCTACAGTAGCCAGTACTGATCCATTCTCAACCAGTCCGACAAGGAATGGCGAAGTGCACTGGTAAGGCTTTTTTCAATCAAGCGTTATTCTTATTGCTACCGACTCGCAACCTCCCGGTGAGTACAAGACTTCTCATTGATGAACGATGTATCGTTAATGCAATGTGGTTGGGTATACATCGATAAGCTTAACTCCAATTACTACTACGTAGTACAGTATTACTGTGGGCCACAGTAACTTAATAGATCACTACTCCGAGGTTGTCGGTGATTTGAACTGTGGCGGAGGGCGGGCGACCAGCGGCGGCAGCGTCTTCAGGAAGTCCCAACACGCGGCTGTCCAGAATCCATTCAATTGCGTTGGGAGTGGGCTGGGCTTTGATGAACTCGATGAGCAGATACACACATGAATCACAGGACAGCATTTAATATTAATTAATACCAACCAACCTTGGATACTATGGTTAATATTTTAAAAATATACTTATCGAAGATTATACTGTATCGATTTGATCTGTGCTTTCACACGACTGTGTGCGTCACATCCTCATCCGGTTGGTTGTAAAAATGTGAATTTGAATAAAAATACGAAATTTCTCAGAAATATATCAGATCCTAGTGCAACTTCCAATACAATTTCCAAGTATAGACCTCACTCAAAAATACCCACAATAGTATTTTGGAACAGAGGAAGTATAATTGTTGAATCAAAGTGTGGATGACATTGGGATGACATGGGAAAGTGGATGAAGTTGTGGGATGAAACCTAAAGTAGTGACCAAGCCTTACTTTCGCCCCGAGCGCCCGGGAGGGCTGCGCAGGCGGATCTAAGCTTCTCACTTAACCGAATGATCTATCTTTCTTGTTGTCGGGCAGCGGCAGGTAGGCCATAGGCCGTGCCGCTCCCGGACGAGGCCTGTATGCAATGACCTATAGCATTAGCCTTCATCTCTACGGAGTAGGCTATGACGTAATATTAATGTTGGATGACGTTTGGATGACAGACACATGATACTCTCACGGATATTTGAAATCCATATAAATAATTCAACATTTTCCGACTGTAAGTTCAGGATACTTCCGGCATATTTCGTCCGTCACACAACTGATTCACGCCATGTACGTTATGTTCGCCGAACGTTCGATATATTTCGTCAAGGCCAGTATCTGTCACCCCACAGGCGATATATTTCACACATTGTTCAATATATTTCATACCTAGATGGTATGATGTTCCATCTATTTCGATGTTAGATGCAAATCAAGCAAACCAAGGCACTCCTTCATCAGGCGCTAACTTCACGTCACCCACGCTTTCGGCAAGACCGTAGAACAATCGAGCTACAAGGTGTAAGGTTGTAGAATATTCATGTCGTCTCATATCTATGATTTAGACAAGTTCAAAACGCTTCCACCACCTACGATTTACTTGATTTCCATCTAAAATCGGAATTGAGGGAACCTCATTCGAAATATATTGAACAATGAGAGAAATATACTGCCTGTGGGGTATCACTTTTCCGGACATTAGTCGATATACTACGTAGTATACTGCAACGATGTAGGGTCTCGACGAAATATGTCGAATGTTCGGCGAACATAACGACATGGCGTGAATCATATACCGGAAATATCCAGAACTTACAGTGGTTGAAGGCGTGGAGGGGGACAAATATACATATCTCAAGTTCGAGACAACTTTTTTCTGCGAAATTTTGTATATGTGTGGCACTTGATTGGAGCAACAAAACATTCATTAGGTGCACGCCTTAGAAATGATACCCTACGAGATATGTTTCGATAAAAGCGAAAACAATGCCATAACCTTTATTAATGAATACCAGTGATTTCAAAAGGTTACTATTTATACATATTTATTTACCCATTTACGAAACAAGATCAACACTCCGATAGTTAAATAGTGCATAACCTCTCAAATTTAGTATTGCAAAGTAGACCTAATCGTCCCCTTGTCGAAAAATGGTGTACTATTGTAGTACTGTACAACGTAGTACTACCGGTAGTACTACGTTAAGAGGAACTGCAGGGTATGCATTTTGAGAGGTTAATCATTCCCCCGGCGAGCTGAGAGATGTGAATGTGCAAATGTAACTTACCACGGTACTTACCACTACTGTACTACTAGTACTACAGAATTGCTTCGAAGTATATTATTTCGAGATTGGGCACTGTACCATTTGGAAATTATTTCCGTACAGTAGTCAACAATTGCCCCATGCAACCAGCCCCTTCGCCCGGCCCATGATTCTAGCTGGGGGCCATACCTGAGGCGTCGTCTGACTCCTATATATGCTGTTATCTACTTCGAAGTAGTAAACAGTGTTACCACAAAACCATTCCACGAGGCGGTCATGAGAGGGTTCCTGTATCTGAATCCGTGCCTTGGGACTACTGTACAGTATTGTGTATATGTACCGATACGTGGTACTACTGTAGTATGCTACACAAAGTCTGTAAGTGCAATTCCCCAGATTAATCCAGTCCCACTGTTGTTTTGACTCGAAATACTGTTTCACAGATACTTCGAAGTACTTACTAGTACTGTACTGGCCCTACTAGTAGCCTGTAACCTGGGACTCCGTCCTATCCCCAGGGTGAGTACATATAATTGTATAAATCTCCGGGGTTTATTAAGTACATCACACTCCAGTGGTTAGCTATCGCTAACCACTGAGATACACCTGACCCTATTAATAGTAAGAGGTGAGGTGGTCAGAGAATACCTGCAGTTATACTATTACTAACTAGTATACTATATGAATGACATATTATGAGAAAAGAAACAGTGAAACTGTTTTAATCGGGGAATTCTTCTCTTTGGAATGTCGCAAACAGTCGACATGTTAATCCAAACTCGACATGTTTGACGTCCGAATAAAAAGAAGTGGATACAGTTGCACAACCAATCACGATTACACTCAGGCGATCCATTTTTCGTCAACAGCTCTGAGTCTTCACCATACGCGAGCTGCCGCGTACTAACTTACTGTTAGTACTGGTAGCGCTTTGTTTGCAGTGGACTGCGAGGTTGTCTTTTCGATGGCTGGATTGATCGTTCGACGAACATCGTTGACGTTTGTCGCAAGTCGACTCTTGCTAAGTGCTGCATGTGTTGGCAGCTCAACCCTGATGTCCTTGCTGAGTAGGGCGTCGTTGGGGTTGGATCGACCAAGGAGCTGCTGCTGCAAAAGCACGGTCATGACCAGTTATTTGATCATTCCGCGAGGCATTGTGCACCCAATGTGCCAGTATGGAAGCCGGCGGTGCCAATATTTCGCAGTGGACATGTTGCAAACAAATGGATAACCTTATGGGGCTGGTATCGGCGTGTGATTGCTGCCTTGATCAGGATATCGATACTATTATAACAGCATGGGTTGGGTGGGTGAACAATTTGGAATCCAAAGTTGAAGTGGAGACAGGAGTGGTACTTGCAAGTGAAGATACGTCTGTCTGATCGTGATGGATGGGTTATATGGGTGCGTACTGTAGCCACGCCTCGATGTTGGAGGTTGTGCAGAGCTCTAGGGATTGTTCCAGCGACTGGCACCATGCAGAGGCCATGGGGCACTCTGCAGTATGTGTCTCCATCGTGTCTAACGTGGTGTGGGTAGGATTGATCTCGAGCAAACAATGATGTGATGGTACTTGATTTGACAGCACTAATGTTAACATTCGATTGTCGAACGAGGCAAACCGTCGCAACATGTAAAAAGATCGTCATGGCGAGAACGACTATGACCAATCCGAGGGTTTTATTTGACAAAAGGACTATCCATTGGTCAACCAGGCTAGCCTTTTGTATCCTGAAAGGATACAAAAGCTACAACCAGCTGTTTTGCCAGCAGGTGGTGTTGTGTTTTCTTGTAACGAGTAGTAGCCTACATCAGGTAAACCCGGTTGGACATTTTAACTAACTGGTCATTTTGGTTGCAGTGTCGTTTACTAGTTGAAAGTTTATCATACACAACTCCCCCCCCATCACACAGTATAGCCCTTAGGGCCTTTCAACTACTCCCAACGCGCTACAAGAGCCCTATTGGAAGGCCCCGTCATACATTGTGCCTACCCCCGCAGGTTGCTTGCATGTCGGATTGAAAATACCGATTCATGTCCACTGTACTTGTCGCATTCGTGTGGGTGCGCCGGTATTATACTTCTTTTCAGTAACGTGAAGTACTTACCGGTATGTAAACGTAATGCAGGATTTCGACGTTTCGCACGAGATTGCTTCTACGTCTATTGTACACTTCATACACACACCACATGCACCTAGCTGTCGAAGACATTAATGCAAACTTGTTAATGGAATGAATGTAAACGCCCTGTATCGTTGTCTCGTTGGTCCCGTCTTCATCGCCTTCCCCTTCCACCGAATTCATCATGGGAATACGTTCCATGTGTAGAAGTCGTCCGGATAAATACGGTCAATATAGTGTAACACTATCAGGTGTCCGGATACCATGTGGCGGGGACAATTTCATGCAACAATGGATGCACATCAGGTGGTGCGACGTGCCACATAATAAACCTTCGATCAACCGAGAAGTTCCATCGGTTACATTTGAGGTTTGTATGCATCATAAATATACACAATCAGGTTGCAAAGGTGGCTGATATGGTGGTGGTCGTTGGTGTCAGAATCCAAAATGCTCGTGGCGTGCCACCTCATCAATCAACAGCGGACCCATTTGCCGTCCCTGAAGATGAACAACAATCAACAATTGCGCTATTCCCAAGAAAAGAACGACACCACGACCACCGCCGCCGCCTTCCCCCGCCATGCCGACGGGCCATCCCACGGCAGCCCTGGCGTATTTAACGGCCGATGCAAGTACAAGTCAGGGCGATGTATGAATGAACGAACTCTCAAGGACAATGGACTCCCCCATACATTGTGCGAAGAACACCGCGTGCTACACAACAAGAACCAGCGCAAGTCGGACACGAAACGAAGGCGGCTGCGCAAGGGCGTCCCGTATGAACCTTCGCACGTATTCCCTTCGTCCACGTCGTCCATGCAACTGATACACCACCACCACCTCGAGGATTATCGATCTACCGCTAGCACATACAGCTCCGACCAAGAAGATGGTCACATGAATGACGACTTGTCCGACAACGACGATGCAAGCTCTGACCCGTCCACTCCGTCGCATTCCAGCAAACAAGCATCCCCGAGCATGAACTGGTCCGTGGAAGAGATCTCGATGCTGCACTCGATCCTTGGCATCCAAAACCACCCAAAACCACCCGCCTCTTCATCTTGTTAGCGATATCTCCTCTTGTAAAATATATCACCGAGTCCATCGAAAAGCATTCTTGGGGTAAATCCATTTCACAGTACCTTCCGGATAACGGCCATGGCATCATTCCGATGGGTGCACAAACCGAGGGGATATCCGGAAAATATCCGGACCTGTTGTCGGTTTCATATTCTCGATGAAACCGTCCAATCTTGAATTTTTAGCCTCGTGACAGTCAGTGCTTTGCAATCCATGTCGCGGAATCGTAGTTTTTTCAGCTACCGATCGTCCTTTATATATATAATAACGTTAGAGCTGTAGGACATTGCTACACTACTCAGTACTGTCCAAAGAATTCAACCTCCAATTGGAATGTTATGTAAATCTTGGCCGGGGGTGCTGAGGTAGTGGATCGAACGTTTGTTTCCTTCGCTTGTGCATTCTACATACTATGTGTCAAACACTCGAAGGGCGATTCAAAGGGGAGAATTCTCGGCACAAAACATGGAGTCGCGAAGTTCGAAGGATTTCGCCTGTGGGGGTCGTCGAGAACAATCTCGCAACAACATTTCGTTAAACATAAGATCACAGTGTCGATTTTCGAAAGTGTTGGTGTCTTAGATGGCGGCGACCTTTCGCTGCCACTGAAACGCGCGGCCGTTACAAATGTAGCCAATCACAGTCCTTCGTCCAGTCGCCCGTGTCCCACGATTCCAAAAGACACGCAAAGCAAACATGAATCATCGCCAAAGTACAATTCAATCTTCCATATCAACCACATACCAACTCATCACCACAACACGTCCTTGACAACATGGCAATCAATTCAGTCGACGACCCCAAACGCAAGCGTATCACGGGTATCCCCAAGTTCCTCCGGTCCCTCTTCTGCATCCTCGAAGCAGAAGACCCGACCGTGATCGGGTGGACACAAGACGGCACAGCGATTCAGATCCTGTCGGAACGGCGCCTCGAAGCCGAAATCTTGCGAAAGTATTTTAACCATGAAAAAGCGTCGAGCTTTCAACGACAGCTCAACAACTTTGGCTTTCGAAAATGGACCAAGACCCAATCCCACACGTGCACGTTTTCGCACCCGAGTTTTCAACGGCAGCATCCCGAACTCCTCGCCCACGTCCAGCGAAAATCGCCTCGATCGATGGCCGCGGCCGACGTGAAAGAAGAAGCTGCTGCCAACCGCGAAAACCAACGTCAGAACAACACCCCGTCGCCGTTGTCCTGCAGCGGCGGCGGCATGTTTACATTTGACGAACCCAAGATTGAACTCTGGGGAAAGGGGAGTGGTGAGGGTATTAACGGGGGTGATCTCTGGGACGCCTTCCCCCTGGACATTGACGCCACAGACTGGGACATTGCATCTCAAACGTACCCTGAACCAACCACCGTGCTGTACCTTCCAGACGACAAGACACAGCACATGATGGCTCCATCCACCGCCCTCGACTTTGACATGTCTTTCTTCCTCCACGAATCTGCGCTGCTGCGTTGAAGCATCGATCGCACCCGTTTTGTATTTAATCATCTTTAAAATGTGTACACTAGTCCTTTGTGCAGCACAGCTGGTCGAGTACAGCCGTTGCCCATTATTGCTGCTTTTGAGTGGCCGTGCATGGTATAAGTTCTTAGTACATTGCGGGTTGCGTCTTCACTGATGCCATTTGGTTGGTTGCACCACGTTGGGAGTAACGTTACATAGTCACAAGTACATATATCTGCGACACGGTTCCTACTGTGCATGTAGTATTCAAAGTCGCCCTAGACGCCGCCAACCCACAGGTTTACACCAACGCTTTCATACCCCCGCACATACAGTAACACTACTCTGGACATGCACAACACAAGCCCGCAGCATTATCTTCTTCTTCGTTGCTGTTATTGATCTCTTTTCAAGCCTCCAACGCGCCCAAATGTGGTTTTAGGTACGCGTCATATCACACCGACATGTTGCCCAAGTACGCGCTCCACCCTTGCTCTTCCATCTTGTCGATCTTTCCCTGCACTTCCCGTTCCTGCGCCGCCAAGAACGTCTCCATTTTAGTCAAGTTGGCATCGCCGCCCAAAATGCGCACGGCCAGCAAGCCTGCGTTCGCAGCATTGCCAATGGCCACAGTCGCCACCGGAATTCCCTTGGGCATCTGCACAATCGACAGCAGCGAGTCCATGCCACTCAACGCGCGCGTCTGAATCGGCACGCCGATCACTGGCAGCGGTGTAAGGGCCGCCACCATGCCGGGCAAGTGGGCTGCTCCGCCAGCGCCGGCAATCAGCACTTGAAGTCCGCGCGCGCGCGCGCTCTGCGCGTACGTGTACATGCGTTCGGGGGTGCGGTGCGCCGACACGATGCTGAGTTCGTACGGGATGTCAAAGTCGTCGAGGATCTTGGCGGCGGCCGACATGGCGGGGAGGTCCGAGTCTGACCCCATGATGATCCCTACCACGGGCGACGGTACTTTAGGCAGCAGCGTGTTGGCAGTTGGGCTCAACACGAGCGCGCGCGCGCGAAGTTCGGCGACCGACGATGCCACGACGGTCAAGTGACCCACCTTGCGACCGGGGCGAATCGCGGCTTTGCCGTACCAATGCACCGCCGAGCCCGGGACGGTGTGCGACAAGGCAATCAACGACGTCGTCTCAGCCGGGTCACTCGACCCGAGCAGGTTGAGCATCCACGAAGCACCCACCTTGAGCGCAGGCGACCCCAGCGGTAGCCCAGCCACGGCGCGCAAGTGGTTTTCAAACTGATCAGTGTTGCATGCTTCGATCGTGTAATGGCCCGAGTTGTGGGGGCGTGGCGCGATCTCGTTGAGCCACACGTGGCCGTCTGCGGTGAGGAACAGCTCGACGCCAAAGATGCCGTTGCCGCTGAGCGACGCGACGGCCGTCGAGGCCAGCGCATCTGCCGCCGCGAGGACGGACGGCGGGATCGCGGCGGGGGCGAGCACCGTGTGGCAAATGTTGTTGTGTTGCGTGGTTTCCACGACCGGGTACGAGCGCACGTCAGAGCCTTGACGGACCACCATGACCGCCAATTCCTTTACAAACGGCACCCACTTTTCAGCGTACAGCTTGCCAGGAGTCAACGGCTCGTTGCCCGCAAGAGCGGCGATGGCAGACGCCAGCGACGCAGGAGAGTCCACGACGGCGTTGCCCTTGCCATCGTACGACCACAAGCGAGATTTGAGCATGAACGGGAACCCGAACGCGGCCCCCGCGGCCTCGGCTTCTGCCAACGAGTCCACACGACGGAACTGTCCCACGGGGAGGTTCAACGCCGCCACGAACTCCTTTTGCGCAAACTTGTCCTGGATCAATGCAATCGTATCGGGACTGGGGTGGATGGTCAGAGAAGGATGCGACGTCTGAAGCGCACGAAGGGTCTGGGCGTTAACATGCTCGATTTCCACGGTCAGCACGTCGCACTGGGCGGCAAATGCCTCAATCGCCGCGGCGTCTGTGAAGGACCCGGTCACCGTCGGCACGACTTGGCCCGCAGGCGACTCGCTACCTTGAGGGTCCAGGCACGAGAAGGACAGGCCGAGACGATGCGACGCATACCCCATCATACGACCCAGCTGGCCGCCACCCAAGCAGCCCACTCGAGGACCGCCTTGAAGAGATCCGACACTCATGACAGTGATGATGTTGGACTCGATGAAAGATGATCAAATGCGTCGAGAGCGATTGGTCAATGGCGCATCGTGATTGGCTGTCAAGGGACATCCGGATATCTGTCCTCACGATTATTGGTTAACCGAAATCACCGCAGTGCTGTCAGGTTTACAGTAAACAACGTTAGTTAGCTTCAGCTGGGGCTTATGAGGAAGTGCTGGACGCGAGTGTAAAAAGGAAGGAACTTGTATTGTCGATTTGACTAATTGATATCATCGGTCAACGTTCTACCGTAATTGATATTAACGCTCGAATTTCAATGGCCGCCAATGATTGGCTGTAAATATACCGAAATTGGGATTCAATGTACCATGATTGGCCATTATAAATCCAATCACCACACGATTATCCGAGGCGGTTGTACCAATCCTGGCACGATACGCTTCCTCGACCAACCACAACACATACAAGATGCTCGAGCTGCGCGGCACCACGGCGCTGGACGACTTCTCCCATGCTCCCCAAGACAGCAAGGTCACGGACCGACTTCGTTCGCAGTACGTCGTGGTCACTCCTGGCCAGGTGATCACAAGTGAGCCGGGGTTCTTGCGAGGCCACGGAACGTACGTCGAAGCCGGCGAGCTGCTCGCGAGTGTGGCGGGTATCGTCGAAAAGGTGAACCAACTGGTGAGCGTGCGGCCACTTGTGAGTCGGTACATTGGTGAAGTGGGGGACATCGTAGTCGGTCGCATCTCTGACGTTGCGAACAAGCGGTGGAAAGTGGACATCAACGGCCAACAGGACGCGGTGCTGATGCTCACGTCGGTGAACTTGCCGAGCGGGGCCCAGCGTCGTCGCACGGCCGAAGACCAGCTTCAGATGCGCGAGTTCTTCGAGGAAGGCGACCTCATCAGTGCCGAGGTGCAGGAAGTGCGGTACGACGGCACCATGTGGCTCCACACACGCAGCTTGCGCTATGGCAAGCTCGAGAACGGCCAGCTCATCGTCGTGCAGCCGTCCTTGATCAAACGACTCAAGCAGCATCTCGTGCAGCTGCCCGGCCTCGGCGTCGACGTCATCCTCGGGTGCAACGGGTACCTGTGGATCACCCGCAGCATGGACGACGTGGTGGCCACTGACGGCGCGCAGAACGAGCTCACGGCGGACGCGTGGACAGAGCGCAAGGTGAGTCACGCGAACACTGTCACAGACGCGGCGGATCGGCACCAGATTGCGCGGGTGTACAATGCCCTCGCGAGCTTAAACGCGCGCTTCCGACTCATCTCCCCTGAGAGCATCCTCGAGACCATCCAAGCGCTAGAACGTGGAGATGACTCGGACGCCTAAAACGACAAACATTCCTAGATGTAATAACGAAAAGTCGCTGTATTACATAGCACTACCAAACAAAGAACGCATCATGCTAAACCGAGTAAGTATACGCGTTGTTGACTAGGAGTATTAAGTAGTATTGTACTAGTAATTAATACTAAAGTACTTCGAAGTATGATTTTTAGAACTTTTGAGCTAATTTACAGTAGACTGGTCGGACCTAATAATAAGGTAGTATTCGCCAACGATATAAGTTAACTTACTACGACCAGGCTGCAACTAAATTGCACCCAATGGACCGTCCAGTGCTTTCTAGTATATTCAATCTACCGGGAGTTCGAACTATGAATATGTAGTTACAATTAAAGTGCAGTAACGTTAGTTAGCTACAGTATTACGACTTTGAAGTGTATTGTTCCTGCCTCTGGACAATTGAGTATTACTACTACAGTATTACTAGTATGGGTGTCCTACAGCAGCAAACCAGCGACAACTAGTACCCCTTGGCTTCGACAACTCCTTGGGCTTTGATGCGAATCGTGTTGAGTTCCGTGAGGCACTTGAGGCAATCTTGCTTGACGCTGTCGTACTCGACTTCTCGCGTCTTTGTGTCAATGTCTACACTCCAGCATTAGCATTCCCATCACAGGTCGGTCTGTAGCCAAGAGACCCATCCCCACGTCCGTATTACATTCTTTGAGGTGGTATATATTTTGTTCGTGGTGGCGCAGCTTTTGCTCGAGCGAGTCAAGCGTCTTGGCTGTATCGTTGTTGGCCAGCTGGTGCTTGAGGTTCTCGTACTGCGCCGCCAACAGATTCACCTGCGACTTCATCGCGTCGCGGCGGCGGATGTACTGCTGCTTGAACTTGAGCAGCGCCTGCTTGGTGGTAGCATGGGTTTCCTTGAGCGCTTCGATGTTCTGGAACCCGTCCATGTCCGTCTCCATCGTCGCCATTTTAGACGACAGCGAGTTTAGCTCGACCGAGATCTTGGCGTCGAGTGTGTTGACCTATTCATAGTTAAGGAACAAGTATATGATTTTCTGTACAATCGAACGACCTTTTCCAGCTCGGCCTGGCGTTTCGACAACTCCATGCTCAACCGCGTCTTGGTCGTTTGCGCCGACTCGAGCTGGCGCTCCTTGAACGTCAAGTCCGTTTTCATTTCCTCCACCTTTGACGCTGATGGCATCTTGTCTTGGCGGTTTAGGCCTACACGGGTACAAATGTTAATATGTGAGAGACATAAACAAGCTCAAAGTAATGGCATCGTAAAGGGGGAGTGGGGGGAAAGTGGGGGGAATGGAATCCCATAATATCATTGATAAATCAACGAGATTTCACCAGGAAAACATACAAAGGGGTGGGGTGGACGACAAACACAAATATGATATATATATATATATCGTGTTGTTTGCATGGGAATCTGCTAGAGATATGGTACTACCAGTGGAAATATGTTCGAGTAGGCGCACAATCATGGCTTGGGCTTGGCGTTGGTTGTCGAGCTCTTTATCCTTTTTCTCGTCGAACGTGTCCATAAACGAGCTCATTTCCTGGTCTCGCTGGTACAGCATGTCATACTTTTGACTTGCGTTGCTGTCCGGGCCTTCGTTCTTGCGTTCTTCGAGCTCCAATTTGACTTCGTGGAGTGCTTTTTTCAATCCCCCTATGCACAAGTGTTCGTAAGAACTTCTACCAATCAAAACTGGTCTTGTGTTCGAGTGGACACTAATGGGGTTTAACTTTTGCAAGTTGGTTTTTTCGCACCGTTTTCGTCGTCGGCGGTGGCGATTTGCTTTTCCACTTGCTCCATCTTGGCCTTGTCCTCTTTGACCTATGATTATTATACCCACAATATCGTGGGACGGTGAAGTGATGACACGTTCTTGACGTTGATTTAGGGATACGCTATGATTATTCTAGGGGGAAGCGTACCCTGGCCAAGAGCATGTTGCGCGCTTCGGTGGGGTCCATTTGCGCGGTTTTAAGGTCGTCCTGGATGGTTTTGCACTCCATTTTTAACCGCATCGCTTGTCGCTCCAACTGGTCGTACTCGTCGCGGAATTTGTCCATCCCGAGGTCGTCTTCTTTGGCCCGGATGGCTTGCATGAGCATATCCAGTTCCTAAAAATGAGGTACATCCGATTGATCATGTCATCCCAGGTGCTAAAAATGATATATATATATCCCGGGTTGATCACGTCATCATGTACAAACCAACCTGGGACTTGGCTTCCAACTCGGCTTCGCCCTGGTGGTTTTCTTCGAGCAGGGCCTATAAAAACGTCACAAACTTGACATGTCACGACGACAGAATTCGCATATACCCGATACTTCTCCAACTTTGTCGGCGCCAATTGGTTGATCTTGTCCTGCTGCTTCATGTGAATCGCGTTGATTTCGTCTTCAAAGTGTTTGGCCGTGCGTTCCTGGTCTTGGCGCATGATAAAAATCTACACAACAACTCAGTCATACGAACGCCCTGAAACCGAATCTGTACCCTGTCCACTTCCTCTGCTTCCTTTAGGTTGCGATTGTGCAGTTGTTCTTGCACTTGACGAATTTCTTCGGGGTCCTGCTGCCGCCGTCAATACACACTCTCCAAATGTCCAACGATTATCGTCGACACGCCCTACCGTGGCACTTCGCAGCTTGTCCATGGCGAGGTTGTAGTCGGCCAGTTGGCCCTCTAAATCTCGCACTTCGATGGCCAAGTGTTCGTACTTTTTCTCGAGCTAGCCACGTTGTACCCGCACCAGATAACGTTTGACGGTTTTGTATTGAATGGCAAAAGTGCCACTTGGGCATACGAACCTGTGCGTATTGGCTCTTGTCCTTGGCATCCTGGTCGATTTCTTTGGTGATTTTCTCGATTTCGGCTGTGATTTCGGCCGTCTTTTGATGCAATCTGCCTGTAAAGTACGACGCGTCTTGCACTTGCCGCCCCGGGCCCGCCGTCATCACGCGCATCCCCATCATGCCTTCCCACTTCCACGTCATATTCGTGGAACCGGTGGCGTCGTACATACCTTGTTGGGTCACAGGACGATCCGTCACTTGCACTTCCGTGTTCAAACTCACGCCGTACCCCGCCGACTGGCCAGGCGTCGCCGGTACTTGGCCCGTGCCCAACCGACTTGTGAGCGGGCGGCCGCCGCCAGATGACTGCAACGCGGTGCGCTGACCCGTCCCAGGACGCGCGTTCACGGCATTCAGAGGCTGCTGAGACCCAGTCCCAGGGCGTTGACCGGTGCCTGGACGTTGACCGGAGCTCGTACCTGGACGCCCCGACGACATGGCGTAAAGATCCGAAAGTGTCTGTTCAAGATCCAACGAAGCGGTGGTACGTCCGGATATGGCGTCATCAGTCGTATTTTTATTGTGTAACCTTGAAGTATTGTGCTTTGCACCTTTTTTGGCAATTCCAGGGTTAAATTCATTGTTTAAAAATTTCTCAGACTTAAATAATGTCTAAAGTAACTTGAATAACAGTTGGGTGCGTTGTTTAAAGTTACTTCATCTAATGCGATGATTGGTTGGTTGAAGGTGGTTTTACTGGCACTTTCGTAAAACAAGTTGTTTGCCGTTTTCATTCTGGCAAACAACTTGCTTTACGTCAACATGTTAAGGTGCTTGACGCAATGAAACTGAAGGAGCTATGGCCACACACATGACCCCCCATCCGTGATCACTACAGTACTAACATTATCTACTCCGAGTAATGTGTATAACGTTAGGGATATAGTTAGGCTACAGTACATGTAGTCGTCGCTCTGTCCAATGATTCAAAGCTATGCCATACCTACAATTCTTGATCTGCTCTAACCTTAGCACTGTACGTGGAAGGCAAGGGCGCACTACTGTACGACTACACGATGTATAGTACTCCCATTTAACAGCCTAATACGGTATGCATCGTGATGAACTGGTAGTTGTACGGCGTTAGTTGGCCTGGTGCTGCAACTCGATTAGTTAGCAGCTGAAATAAAGTAATGGTTGTTTTATTCTGCTGAAATGCAGAACTTGTGTTTAGCGTTGTTTTATCTCAATTGGGCTTATATTATTTTAAACGTCTGGTTGTTTAACGCATTTAAACAACATGCAAACTACGTAAGCTACAGTGGAACTATTGCTCTCACGGAATTTTTCTGGCGCCAGTGACTGCATAAATGTGTAGAA